TTAACGCGTTGCCAGCAACAACAACAAGCATCGATAAAATGTGCTGACAATGAGCTGCCACAAAAATGTAGCATACTTTTTTGAGCCGCACATAATGAATGTTGCTGATTGTAGTTAGTCTGAGTTGCTCATGCAGATAGACAACAAAATCGAACACAAAACATAAGTTTCGATATGCTACAAAATAAATACACAGATTAGAGGAGACATAAGCAATTTCAGACTTAATACAATCGAATTATTTGCATGAATGCAATGCAATCCGCTTAACGTCCAACTGTGATTCTCTCATCCACTCTGTTCATCGTTCTCTGTCTTTTCCCCATTCCAATAAGCGAGTCTAATCACTACTGATAAGATAAGCGTTTTAGTGACAGACTGAAAGAGCGCAACAAAGCTGAATTATTATCAACAGCAAACAACAAATACGTGGCAGGCAACAATGCAAGAGAGTCAAGCTGTTGGCTCCAGACTGCGGACACTGGCAACACGTTAAATACATAATTGTAGCAGTGCCAGCCATAAATTATCCGCTCAATAAAGCAACTAAACGAAGCATTCTCGAATGCAAAATTGTCTGCAACACGACCTGAAGTCTACTTTGATGGAAATTTATTTTAACAAGAATTCTGTTCTTACAAATGGCATGAAGACTAAATCCAAATTTGTATTCATACTCAAAAATAGATGAAACATAAAAGATCAAAATACTTGTGGTAAGTTCACTTAAGTATTTGGTATTCCACGAAATGTTTTTAGAAATATTTTAGAAAATTTATTCCTATATAATTCCGAGAAAAAACCAATGCTATTATTAATGGTGGCATGGTATGGCTTTTAATTAAAGCTCAAATATAGTATTTATAAATATATAGGCCAAACAATTATTTTGATACACTTTCAAGTTGTGTAAATCTTTGATGGCTCAGCCAATTTGCTAATTGCCAAAGCAGCTCGTTTGGCGAGTGCAGTCGTGTGTTAAAAGCTGGTGTCGCTGCTTCTCTTGTCTCTTTACAGCTGCCCGTCCACAAATTGTTATTAATTTCACACTCAAGCAATTGCTAATTGGCCTAGCCTATTTGAGTTGAGTTCGCATTCCAATTTGGAATCGAGTATCTGAACCGTTTTGTGTCCAGCAGGCCGGCTCAAGGCCGTTCTCAAAGTCGTTCGTTGGCTACTTGCCGTGCCCGCTCTGACGTCAGCAAACCCTCTGGATGGATACACCAGGCTATCGGCTCTAGCTGACTGTCACAGGGGCGACAAGGGGGATTGTCGTGTGCGCCATCAAGCGAAAAAAAAAACGCAATCAAGCGCAAAACTACGCGACGCCTAAGCAAATATTGTCCAATAGCCACTGCGTCACAGGCACATGAAAATTAACAAAGCTAACAATTATTACAAGAGAGAAAGGGAGCGAGAGAGAGAGGGCAGGAGTTTCATTCACATGATCTATAAGCCGGAAATATTTCAGACATCTGTAGTGGTTCTTTATGAAATATAAAAAAAGTGTACCCGTGGATCAGAAAAGGTTTACTCTCTTTTCATCAAATGCCCGGCCAACATTTTTATTATTTACGAAAGTAAGGGAACAAATGTATTATTCGTTTTCTTTTCAGTTTCAATAGAATTTATTTAATTATATATTTTTTTATATGAATAACAAATGCAGGATATCTTTCGGTACAAATGCCTTTAGCACTTTACTTCATTTTGCTAAAGCAAAGTTTTTGTTACGATATGATTTTCTAGCAGTGGCTACACAGCTGCTAATTCAATTTGCGCATGCGATTTTTCAGGGCAAACGCCGAGTTCTATTTTCAAAATCAAAATAATTACAGGAGGCGAAAGAGCGTCGACAAGTTCAGCCACGCCCACAAAACGGAGGCCTGGCCGTCTGACTTGGGACTGCTTGCTTGAGGCACTGTGCGTTTTATTTATAACTTTAATGGCTATAATTTTAGGTCCTGTCGGTTGATTTAATGATGATTATCGTGCTTCGCCAGCGTCGCCAACGTCGTCTTGAATCGCCATCGACGCCGCCGACGCCGCCGACGCCACCGACGCCGCTGACGGCGCTTTGTGTGGTCATTTGCGTCAATTGCGGTTATGGTATGTGAGCCACCAATCAATGAATATGAGAGCCACCCACAGCAAGCATCTCAAACTGCAATCAATGCCGCTCAATAATTTAAATTAGTCGGGTGGCGGCAGCAATCAAAGACTATTTATATAAAATGTGATGCGTTTTGGTTTTATTTTCGGATATTGGTGTTTGCATATTTAATGCACTGCCAAGATTACGTGCACATATGCATGTGTGTGGGTGTGTGAAGCTCACATTAGTTGAATTTCCCGTGGTAAACATTCGACATGCTACGTGTTGGGGCAACACTTGCAAAACTACTTTTCGCAATTGTTTTCCTGGCAACGTTGCCATACAAATTTCATATAAAATGCTTTCTTTTCGATTTTTTTATTTTGTTTTTGTTTCTTTGCCTGCGCTTTGTGCTTGGCTTGCCAAAAACATACAGCAAAACAAGCATGGTGGCCCTGCCTCAGCCCCTGGTCTCCCTAAACTTCCCACAGGTACCGCTAACTGGACATAAACATGTGCAAATCAACATAAATTTCTGTGCTTTCGCCTGTCCGGGACAAACTGGGCGTGCTGGCTAAGGATGTGCGGATGCGGGTCCTGGCTGATGTGTTTGTTTGTTTACTTTGAAGTTTTTGCGCATTACCAAGGAACTGGGACACAGTCATGCAGCCCAGCCGCAGGACTCGACTCGCCCCGCCCCGCCACTCCTGCCCACGGCTCGGACTGCGTTGCGCTGTCAACATGTTTTGAACATATCACTTTTACATATGAAAATTATTTATAACTTTTGACGTTTTGAGTTGTTTTTCAACCGGAACGAGGCAGCAGCAGCAGCAGCAACAGTAAAAAAAAAAGAACTACAAATCAAAAGACAAAATAATAACACAAATAAAGCAGAGGGCGATCTGGACAGAAGGAACTTGAAAAATAAATGAGATAATATGATAACGAGATCAAAAATGTCATGTATGCCGAGGCAAGAATTAAGAAAATTATATTTGAAAAGTTAAAGGCTACTCAAGAAAAAACACCGATAAAATCTTTATAAAAGCTATAATTAAGAATGTTGAGTTAAAAGTTACCCCATGCTAAGGAAGCAATCGAAATTAAATACAACAAAAATGTGTTTTTGGTAATTTATTTAAAAAATGTAATTAAAATTGTATCTGGTCTTTAAATATAGATAAATTCAAGGGCTGATCAAAATTAATCACCATTTGTCTGCTTTAAACAGTTGTGCAAGCTTATTATGCCCTTTACCTATCAATTTGTAATGCCCACTCAGCAAAAAGCAACAAAAAAGGACTGAAATTTAATGATTTCTTTTCGCACCTTGTGCATTTAGCCGCGGCAATAAGTCAGCCAAATGGCAAAATAAAGTGTGGAATAAAAAGGTAAACAAGCGGAATAGATGATTTTTTTTCTTTTGTATATGGTACTAAAGAATTCGAAGGAAATGGGACAGGAAATGAGCAGCAAATGGAGAAAAGCTAACCCAACAAAAAAAAAATAAATAAATAAAGGAGCAGCAACAAAGATAAAAGTGAGAATTCTGAAAACAGGACACGCTGAAAAGGGGAGTAACTAACAATCGTCCACTTTTGGCGTATTTGAGATGATAAGTCAGCTCCAGGCGAGCACTTCTTAGCCATAGCACGTAGTAGCCAAAGAAGATACCCGTCCACCTTGCGCACCCTACCTGAGTGCCTACAGTCTCCTTCTGCCCGTTGCTCGTTGGCACATTATTAATATTATTTTTGGCTGGCACGTAACTCTGACTTTTCATTAAGACAACGCCTGCTCGCTGCCTTTATATACACTTATATATTATATATATATGTATTGAGCATATACATATTTAGACGATCTACGTTGCTGACAACAAGACAAAAAAAAAAACAACAACAAAAACCAGCAACAAGAACAAAATGAAGGAAAGTTTCATTAAAAATGTTGCACTGTAATTTAGCCAGGGCCGAGCAGCAAAACTTTTCCCAGGCAGCAGGCTGAGAAGGCTAAAAATAGCCAGTAAGAGGACCAACTGTTTCTCGGCTTAAACTTTTAAGGCAACTTTATGTGCGTTCGCTTTGACAATAAAACTTTTGCTTTTTTATGCCAGGGCTATAGAGTACCTGGCCAGCTTTCTTATTATTATACGATATTTATGTTATGACTCGGTTTTTATTATGAAATACGAGGCAAGGCTCTTATGCTGTGCATGCATAATGAAAAGTTTTGATTGGACGAGTACAGCATTTGCGTTTGGCTACTTAGTTACTTAATTTCCGCGTGATATTCAAAGCCAAGTGGCTGCTGCTACCCCAATAGGACTTTACGCAGACAAAGCCCAAGCAGGAAGCAGGCTCGAAAGGGGCAAACGAATTTGCTGGCAATTGCAACTGTGTCTGAGGGGCGGCTGAGACTGAGACTGTCAAATGACACAATGCAGTCGGAATCGTGTTGGGGTTAGGATTGGGATCCGGGGGCTCGGCAGGTCGTCACGTCGGTTTCGGGGTCGGGGTCGGGGTTGGGGTTTGACTAGCTGTCAGGCGACCCCCGTTGACAGTTCGCAGACGGCAGCCACTTAAGTACCGAAGAGTGCGCACCTTTGGCAATATTAATAGCAAAGCAAAACAAGAAGGCAAAATGTGCAGCGACTCATTCACTTTCCCTCCTCTCCTAATCCTTCATTCCTGCCCAGACAGCACCGAGTGCATTCACTGCGAGCAGTTGCAACTGGCATGGAGCCGCCACAAGGGCTGCTGTATGCAGTGTGTCTGCCCCTAAACGTTGTGGGGTGCACCCCAAAGTGTTGGCTGGCAAGCGTTTTAAACGCTGTCAAAGTCAAAGGCAACACAAAACATGGCGACGCAAAATTAAGCAACATATATATATATATAATTCTTTTTTGTCTGCGTTAAACTTTTCATAATCTTGCTCCATTTAATTTGCAAGGAAACTCAATTTGAACTATGACCTTAGCAGTTGAAGCGTAAAAGCAGATTCACTGCCTCGACAGGGCTGCTCGGTGAATTAAGTTCCAGACTATTCCTCAACTAAAGACTGTTAGATAACAGTGCAGGTAAGAATTAAAGTAAAATAGTTTTCTGAAATACCTATTTCTTTACTGATCCTTGCTTTAGTTTAATAAAATATATACATATATATATCTCGAATTATGTACAATTATATCCATAAATTAATTGTATATTTCATTTAAACAATGCAGAGCAAAAAACAGAAATATTCTTAAGGAAAAATATAGCTATTTTAAACACTAGACACTTGTGAAATCACAGTGCCTGCAAACAGTTGCTCGTCACAAAAGATTCGCTTAACACGGATCCCCTGGCTGGCGATTTACGGCCCCGCTTTGTTCCAATCCAAGACCCTTCAAGGGGGGTGTAGGGTGTGTTGTGGGTTGTCGGGATTTGTGTGACTGGTTGCCTGGGCAGCGCGGCATTCATTCATGGATGGAAAAAATGTGCGAGAACCTTTTGTTCTGCTGAAACTGGCGGTAAGTTTGCATTGTTGTCATTTCCATATCCCATTTGCCATTCCCACTGACCATTTCTATTTCCGTGCCCTTTCCTGTAGCTGTTTGTAGCTGTTTGTTTATGGTTCAAGTGTTTTGGCACTTGTGTGTTTGTTTTGTTTAGTTTTTTGATTAGAAAACAAGTCCAGGCAAATGAAAGGAAGAGTGTAAAACCCCAATTTTTGTGCATTGCAACAGCGACGCAGTTTCAATAAAAGCAAACACACACAGAGGTGTGTGAATAGGTGGGAGTGTGTGGGCGTGTGTCTTTGTGCGTCTGCCTATTGACAGCATTTTGGGTAGCCCATAAATTATTTGGGAAAATGTCGCGCAAATTGAATTATGAAAGCACCTCCAGCGGCACAAAACTAAATGTGCGGTTGCCATTTCAGTGACCTCATTACGCGCCCCAAAACGTGCCGGACAGGTGCGCTAAAGGTGTGTGTGTGTGTGTGTTTGTGTGTATACGCATAATTCTATGCCAGTCAGTGGATACTTTCACTTTGGCCATCAAGCAAGCAGCAGCAGCAGCGGGTTAAAGACCGAAACCAGCCAGGCAAAACACGCTTGTCGCGTATTCATTTCTCTCAGTTCTCTCTTTCTCTTTCTCTCTTTCTGTTTCACTACGACTGCCCAGTCTGAACATGCCCCCCCGGCGGCACCCCCTGTCTGTTTGCGTAAGTCGTGCAGATAATGGTGCATAGCTTTAGGCGTTCTGGTGCTAAATATATACACAACGACAACAACAACAACAGCAACAAGAACAGCAACGAAAACAGCGCAAACGAGAAAAACGACAAACGGCAAAAAAGGTAGCGATAAGTTGCTATGTACCCACAGTGCCTCATAGCTGTATACGACTGTTGCTATCACATATATATATATATATATTTATCACCTGACAACCAAAGCCTGTGCCTGCAAACTACAGACTGAGTTGTTTGTGTTGGCCTCAGCATGGTCAGACACACACACACACACACACACATACACACAAACATCTACACTCACACACTCACACAGATAACCCGAGCTGTGAGTATGCCCAGCAAGAGCCTCCCAGACAAGCTGTTGCAGCCATTGCCCATTAGTTGGGCCATAATTGTGATGGAAGGCTTTAAAACCTTTTTAAAGGTGCTTCCATAATGAGAATTTAAAGCACAACATAATTGATATTAATTTAAGAATTGCTGCCTATATCTGTGTTGGGAATGCACCAGCAGATTTGTGTATAGTACAAATATCTATTATCTGCCATTCACCTATCAAGAAAACGAACGAAATAAGTAATTTACGCACCTGACTAAACCGTAACCCATCAAGACATTTGTTTGCTTCGATAACTTACCTGTAAAGATAGAAAAACGAAAATCAGTTTAGAAATAGAAATAGAAATACTATTAATGAATGGTATGATATGTTGTGGCTTATATAAAAGCAAATTTGGCATAAGAAAAGCAGAAAAAAATGCAGACATTACGTATACGCAGAATTGACAGCTCAGGTCATGTGCAGGCATCTGCTGGCACATTAATGCAAAAACGAACGACACACAAGGTAAATGATATATATTTATATACATATACTAAATATATATATATATATATAGTTATATGTATGTGGGCAATAAGCCGCGGCGGCAGCTGCTGCGACATAAATCTTATTTAATTGCAAAACCAGCTGTCAATTTTAACTAACGCACAACGCAAGGATAAGAATAAAAAGGACAACGCCAGCAAGCCAACGATAACAATGACAACGACAACGACAACGACAACAAAATCAACCGCGGACAGACTCGTAGCTTGACATTTATTTGCCAGGATTAATCCGAAACCACATTGGAGACGCCGACAATGTGGTTGCGGTTGTGGTTTTCGATTCATTTGGATTCAACTTTCGGTTGATTCAACTTTCGGATTCACTTAAGTTGAAACCTTTTACTGGCCATGGTCAGCACACGTCGTCATACAACGACTCTTTAGTAATATTATCAATTACTATATAATTGTATCCGGCCTTTTAAAATGCGTAAGTTAAGCAATTAGCTGTATTTATGCCATGTTCATGACAAGTTTCCAGTTGCTTTCGTTAATAATCTCTGATTTCTGTGTGAAGAGCTTTATGCCACTCATTTAAGCAACTCTTTTGTCCACAGTACAAAAAGGTAGCTTACAATTTGTTATTGTTAGTCGATTCGATTTCGATTGTTGGGATTGCGAGCGGGCCAATTGCGCAAAAGGTCAATTTAATTTGAACGCTTCGATTGAGACTTGGCCTGATTGGAACCACTGTGGCGTATTCGTAATTCTGACTTATTCTTTTTCAGGCTTTGTGTTACGGCATTAGCCAGATAACTGCCCCAAATCAGCTGCTGCTGCTGAACGTCTCTAGAAGCCTTGATGTTATTTTGTGGTCATGGGTCTCCTATGTGTGTGTGTCTTGGGGCGTAAGTGGTTGCATGTGTGTTGTGTTTATTTGGGCACCTCGACGCTTAGCTCGTTGGTTTGCTTGACTGCTTAGGTGTGGCTGTTTGTTTGCTCAGGCCCCCAGCTAGCTGCTAAAGGCAACAAGTTTGGAAAGCAACAAAGAAAAACAATTCTAGTATTCTCCACTTGGTATTTTCCTATATTTGTGGTCACTCTCTATCTCTGTCACTGTCTAGTGTTTAGCCTACTTGAAGTGGTTAACCGCTGCATTAGCTGATCTCATTTGTCATGTAAATTTTGAAAGGTGTCATGTCCTATAAGTGGTGTGTCCCATTTAGCTTGTTACGATGTCCCTCATAATAACTATCGATAGAAAGAAATAGTGTATAAAAAGAATAATCATCTTGAAATGTTATTAATATTTTGCAGATTTTTTATAGAACTGTGTTTTGTTAATTTTGTACAAGTCGCATGAGCGACACTAGCAATTTAGAAAAACAAGAAAGCAAGAAAACTATGAACGAGGCGAAGTGATGGCTGGAAAATCCGATGATTGATTGAAGGCTGTCCAATTTTCAGAAAGACAACGAATACCTACTCATGAAAAGTGGGTTTTGCGGGGTAGAACTGTTGAGAAAGTTGCAAATAATTTGTGCAGCTCCTTGATAAATGGGTCGAGAAGTTGAACAAGTTTCTTTTTTCAAGCATTGTGAAATTCAAGTATGCAAATTGCATATAAATTCAAATATAAGTGACTGAGTATAAATATTGCAGGGATTTTTTACCCATAGGAATGATGCTGCAGAAAAAATAGAGAACGTTTCGGTCGTTTCTGGTCATATTTTGGGCTTAAAAGGTCAGAGAAGCGTACGAAAAAAAGCACAGCTAAAGTATCTTTTTGCATGGCTACTTTTTTTGTTTTTTTTTTTCACTGGTAAATTATGCATGCAGCTAGGCGCGTGTTAGCCTCATTATGCGCGGCTGCTGCGAAAGCGAGTGCATGTTGCAGGCGGAAGCCTTTAAGTAGGCAGCTTCACAGTGACTCTCCTACCCAACCCCATCACAAGCCTATTCCCAATGCAGCCCAGCCGCCCACTTGTGTAACTCTGTGTGAGACTGAGGCCACTTCAAAATGCACTCTGCATTTTAGTTTCTTCTGTGCGACAGGCTGAAGTGTGCGAGCCTTAACGTAGACTGTAGTTTTGCCCTCACTCTCTGGTTATATTTTCTCTCTTATGTGCTGTCAGCTTAAATAGGCTATAATTTGCATTAGCATGGCTCTGCACTCAGTCACAGTGCTTGCTAAAAATATATAAACACACACACACACACACACACACACACCAGCCTCATTTGCCTGCTCCAGTTTTGACTTCCGCTCAACACATCAGTTGGCATTGAGCCGCTGGTAGCAAATACAAGTACCCAGGGGTACACACATACACACATACATATACACCAAATATACCATATAACTATGTCTATGATTTTTATTGCGTTTGATTTTCATAGCACATGACGCACAACGCCCTGACTCGCAAATTTCCTTCCCATTTCACTGCAAAAATAAAAATAAAAAAAAAAACGAAGAAATATATATATGAAAATGAGAACGAGAAAGAAAAACCATATGCCATTTGTGTGTGCGCACTTGAGCACTGTCAGCGCCTAGATTTTTATCCACGAAACAGTTTTTGGGGCCAACCAATAAATATTTTTTTGTAGATATTCGTCCTTTCGTTTCGGCACTTCTGCTTTTTTTTACAGCAAGCCTGCAGGTTCAAGGACAACAGCAACTGCGCTGTGGATTCACAGGCAATTTTAATATGTATCAGAACTTATATATAGCCTAATCCGCCCTCACTCACTTCTAAATCCATTTTTATTCCCTTTTAATTTCGGTTTGTCTTTTGTATACACATATTAAGCTGTGAATTGTTATTTTTTTTGTTTTGTCTCTGAAGAAATTGTTATATTTTTAAATTTATTTTCTAATATATCTACATACATGTTGCCAATGATAAATATGAAAGTTTGCTGGGAAGTGGAAAAATGAATTTATTTCAATTATGGCTGCGATGTCAGGTCTTTTATTTTTAATTATCTATATTAATATCAAATTGAATGTCGTTTGCTGTTGGCTGACACCATTATTTAATTATACAACTACTGCTTGATTAACCTTCTAAAAATGTCTTTCATCGATTTCCAATACTAATGTTTTGTATAAGTCTTAAAGGTAATTTGTATAAGTTTTAACATATAATAATTGGTTTGAATAACGCCTTCCACATATGTTAATAAAATCAAATTTACCAGCACACAATATGATAATAATAAAAGTAAAACAAAACTAAAAACACTTTTTCGAACTCCCAAACTTATGTAGCTCATTCCAAATAGTTTGGATTTATGCTATTTTTTGTTAAACTTGGCCTCGCACATACCTGTTCAATTTCTGGTCATATTTTGATTATTAAGAGCGTAAATATTCATATAATAGAGATGAAAAGAGAGAGAGAGAGAGAGAGAGAGAGAGAGAGAGGGAGACCA